CGATTCGCTTATATATTTCATACATATATTATATAAAAATAAACAGAATGTATTAATGTTTTACGATATTATTACAATATTACAATGTTAAAACATTATTAATCCTATTTAATTTAATATTTATGTCATTTCAAAAAATCTCTAGACAGTACGTTGTTAACTTTAAAGAAAACTGCAACAAAGGCTCGAAACACTGACGATGTATTCTATAGTGAAGCCTAACGACGATTTCTTCGATACATGACGAGTTTACGAGGTTTGGTAAATCGTCCCTGTATTTCACGACACCCTTCTTCACATTCCTTGTCGTCACAATTTATTTTTTCAATAAATCCGTCTCGAAGACGGAAGTGGCGACTTCGTTGCTTCAAGTCGACTTCCCATATTTGATGGCTTTGTCCGATTCTAAGTTAAATTTATTAGCGTATTGCTTCCGCAGCAACAGCTTAAAAAATGCCACCATACCCATATGATGCTCAGGTACTTCGGCCTCTATAGCTTTTGTAGTGAGGTGATATGCTGCACATAGTGATCTTCTTATGGTCACAATTATTAGGAGTGTGTTGTTAGGCGTGTTTTTAAAATAAAAACCATCTTAAAATGTATTATGTACATATATTTTTTATAAAAACTCACATTATCGAATTAAGCTTACATATAAATTTTAATAATGTACTTTTCTATGGTTGCACTTAGATTTACTAGTTTGAGTACATGTATTGCTTACAATACGATTATTTTTATAATTTCTACGTCTAGTTATACGATTAAAAAAAGTTCCAGCTATTTTATCGTTTATAAAAGTATTTGTTGAAAAAAATAAACAAAACATGCCTAAAGAATAGTTGTTACACATGAAAAATGAGAAATCGATACAGTAATTTCCGCAAACGGTGGAATTAATATTTTGAAGCTGTTGTACATTCCAATGGTAAGTAATACAGTTTCTTTCGAGTCTATCAATATGATGAGAGATCGTGGGTGGAAGACCATAGCTGTCAAAATACACTCCATCACCTTTAATATCAACATATATAGCTACCCAATGCGAGCCAGGTTTGGATTTTTCGTCGGTATTAACTATGAGAGCGCACGGTCTCGTCCAAACAAAAGGTAACTGGTCAGCGGGGAATACGCTGACGGTCGCTGCAGGTATATTGCAAAGAGCTCTACGCAGTTGCAACAAGTCCATAATAACAGATGTATGAATTCTTATGAGTTGAAATCTACAACTACTTGACGATTTGAATCTATTTCCAATATGTTGTGAAATTCAGCATACAAAATGCAATTTATAGTTTTCGTGAGAGCTGTCTCGAAACGCACCTCTATTCGTACTGTTCCATTTTTTACTAAAGTCCAAAGACCTGCAATATGTGATGAGAGATCAGGTGTAAGATCGAATGCAAACAGGCAATACCCATTGGGATAGTCTTTTCTGTGAATACTGTTTCCCTCGTTCATGTAGTAGATTCTGGTGCCCAAAAATAAAGTATGGTATGCTTCCACGTACATAAGTGTGTTACCTGTAAAAGTCGGTTGCAGCAGTTTACTAGGAACTTGTACACCATCAACGTATAACGACAAAAAATTTATAGAATAATTTTGAAAATTGAATGGGTTCATCTTTCGATCCCGGTTGAAGGCTTTGTTGTCAACAAAACCTAAAATGATTCTTTTCGGAAGTTGTCCAAGGATAACGTTATCCAAACAGTCACCGCTCATACCGCTATGTAATGTTTGACTTCGACGCGCGCAATTGGATACTTTGCCGTAGTGTTAGCCAAAGTTTTTGCGTTCGCGATCAAAACTGTAGGGCTAACTTTCGCTCGCCGAACGAGAAGCGTAGCCTCGGTAATGCTGATAGAATAATTTTTCGTTGAAGCATCCATGAGACAAAAAGCATCTTTTGAGCGTATTAGACGTAAACGAACTTCGACGCCATTTAATAATAATTTATCCTGATTGAATACGTCGCAGTGTAAATGACCCATTAAGTCTATGGTCTTTCTTTTTTTAAATATTCTTGACGTTTAGTAAGAGCTGAATTTTTTTCCGAGCCGGGTAATTCATCCATTTCACCAGTGACATCTGTTTCACAAAGATTTATTGACAAATGCGATGATTTTGCTGCAGGGCCGTAATTTAAAAGCGTTTCAATGTATGCTCTCTAAGGGTAAGCATTATTTGAGAAAGTCATGAGTTTTTGATTAAAATATACATCAACTTGGTTAAATATCGAGTGTAAAAAATTGTTAACTGGAGCTACAAGCGCATCCCCTTCCTTGTCGTAAGGTGTCAATCTGACATTCACTCTGAGCATCGTATGCGCCAAGTCGATGTAATCCTCGTTTTGAGAACTGATAACGAACTCTATTGGACTCTCGTCGCTTAACGACGAAACACGTTTGTAATGCGACCATCGGTTAGCTTCTAATACCGTCTGCGTGAGAGGAACGGAAAATAAATCCAATTCGCTCTTCAAGCAAGGGTCTGTGTGACTATGCAGGAAAGACATGATTATCCTAAAATATCTACTGGTTTTGATTTTTTATTTTTTACTGCCTTTCTCTTAGTTTTGTGAACAACTCTTTTTTTTACCTTTCTGTTTGATTTTTTTTTCTTACTATTTTTTTTATTTTTCTTATGCGTACCTATTTTTCGCTTGACTTTTCTCGAACGACTTTTTTTTTTTTTCTGCAGCGTTTAACGAGTTGTTTACACCACCGCTTCTACGTCGAGACTGTGCTCTTTTCTTATATGGTAAAGCATTATATCCCGATCCTTCCATCAGCTTTACAATTTTTTCTGTAGCTTTACGTTTTAAATTTTTACCAGATTCGTTTATTCGATTCTTGAATGCATGTTTAAATAGAATATTGCTTTCCCCTATATCGTCAGTTATATTCACTCCCGCTCGTAAAGCTTCTTTTCCAACGGCACGAGCACCTCTGACTATGTAGGGCATAGCACTCCGAAATAGTCCAGTGAAAAAAGAGCCTAATCCATGTCCTCTCGGTCTATATGATCCCGCAAACATATGCTTGACTCCTCTTCCACCCTCTTGCTGTGTGTGATACCCCTTGTAAAAAATCATTTTGTAACGATTCGCTTAAAAGAAAACTTTCCTAAAATGTAACACCACGGTCAGTGTCCCAAACTCAAATGATATTGGTTTACCAAATGGATCTCTTATATCTATATCAATTGTATGAAATCTATTATTGAGGAGGGGTGCGTAGGCTGGTGGAGTAAATCTCTTGACTATTGTGCTTCCGAAATTAATTTCTTGAGCGGCTTAATTTACTATTTTCAGCAGGGGTGCAAATGTATCACCAACTATACTTGATTCACATATATTAGAATGGATGAAAAGTTGATTGGGTACCACTCTTGATAAGCTTGCTGGTTGTTTACCGTGAAACAATAGCCTGTAACCCCCTCTTATTTTGGTACGGTCACGCTCAATCTCAGTTAGTCCTTCCTCAAACCCAATAAAACGTTTTACTACAGTTGATACAGCCGGAGTTTTTCCGCATGTTCTTGTACGTCCTGGTCCTATTATTGGAAATCCAATAAATACAAATCTGCCTCGATGATCATAAATTAGCTGCTGACATTTCTTATCTTTATGATAGTATTCCAACCATTTTCTATTTATTTCCTCGCATAAACTATGTACATAGTCGTAGGTGCCGTGCTGAATAAAACACTTTTTTACTTCACCAGGATCGCTTATTACTGCCTCTTCTCGTATCACATGCAAAATAGTGTACGGTACGTGAATCTCGGAAATTCCTACCTCCCATTTACCACTAAGCTCGATCTCTTACGGTAACTGAGTGGAAAAATTTGTTGTAGTATTGTTCGGAAAATATATCATACTACTATTGCTAGGTAGAATTACAGTAAACCTGTTGTGATGCATTGTTTTTTAAATCGCTTGAATTTATCCACGAATAAAATTTTTTAGGGTATCCTGCCCAACTAACAAAGTGCTGTTTGTTCTTCCCTTTTCCTCTTGTTTTCAAGACCTTCTCAATTTTATGGTCTTGCTCCGAAACACGCTCTTTGCGAACAGGGTTAAGTTCTTGAGAGTGAATAAATCCTTCAATTTTTTCATCATCTAAATCACTGAGCTCATATACATGTAAATTTTGTCTTTTCAAAATTCGAGTAATTTTAAATATCTCTTCACTCCATGTTTTTACTGCACCTTTTTCAAACAAATTTTTATCACGGCTTACGCGTACATAATTACCTACTTTATAATTATATTAACTTTGAATGTGCCGTTGTTTTGTTCGAGGTTGTCTCGTCATGTATTGTTACACTGCTTGGCGCTAACTTTGTTGTAGAGTGGGGGTATTATTGTAACCACTAATTAAATCTTGTAAAACGTCTACGTAACGATATGTATTTTTGTATGTAAAATATCTGTACATACGCTCTTTAAACGTTCGAATGACGCGCTCTACTACGGCCGCTTTAACATCAGGGTTTTTGGCAACTCGAAATTTTATAGCATTGTCTTTCAAAAAGCGTTGAAATTCACTGCCTAAAAATTCAGTCCCTTGATCCGTTTGTAACATAAAGGGCGAGCGAGATTGACTATTTTCAAGAATTTTTTTAAATCCTGCTGTTACATTATGGCAACTTTTATCTTTTAAAGGTTGCATCCATACAAATTTGCTTAATACATCAATTACAATTAAAATAAAAGACACTCCGTCGTTGTAGTTTTTTAATGACGTCAGTTGAATGAGATCCGCTTCCCACAATTCATCTCTAGCATTAACATCGTAAAACAACCGTGGAAACTTTCGCCGAATAGATATATGTCAAGTATAAGCATCATGTTTTTGCAGCCACTCTTTGATTTTCTTGGGGGGGATTTTGTTTTCATTTACTCTTATTAAATTGCGGACCCCAAAAAATGCTGCTTCATGGTTAGGGATAAAATATTGTTTCTCTAGCACATTCATTATTTATTAATATCGTAACCAGCTGTTAACACCACTTGATTTTAGTGTAGATGAATCGTGTACAGTTTTTTCCAAAGGTGATGAAAAAGTCTCGTGTTCAAACGTTTCTTCGTCTTCTCCGAGCAACTTTATATTACTGGCCCCATCCAACAGCAAGCTTGAACTGTCGCGATCTACGATTTTCAAGAGGTCTGTATTTTCCACGAGTTCTTGAGGAGTGCTTATCTCCTGAAGTACTTTAGCAAAAATTTTTCTCCCCACCGATTTAACATTTTTCCTTCGCTTCGCAGCATCATTAATTAAATCAATAATATTGGACCCATCAATTTTTTTACCTTTATAAATTACTGTACCTGTACTATCCCACTTAATATTATTTTTGTATCCTTTTAAATGTTTTAAAAGCAGCATAAATTTTTGTTAGTGCACTTTAGGTACAGTACTAACAATCGTTTTTTCGCTCATTCCATAATCATCTGTATTAGTAGTGATATTCTTAACTTCGTTTTCAGCAATCTGCATTGGCTCACGCTTTTTATCGATAAAGTATAAATACCTGTGTAAAATTCTCAAGTATTCCTTCAATTTATCGTATTCATTGCTGTACAAATTTAAATCTAGAATTTTTTTCATCGAGTCGTCTAATCGACTCAAGTTATCTCCGGCTCACTGTGTGGTTTGTAAAATAGGAGGCGTGAAAAAATTATTTGCGGCTGTAGGAGTAGAAGGACCGGGGTTTCCTCTAACGGTAGTGCTTTCTCTTTTTATTCTTTCGAGTTGGTCTTTAGACAGTAAAATCATTTTTTTCCCTCTTTCCATTTTATTATTTTTACAATATTCTTGATAATATTTCACTTAGAATAGGTTGTAATATTAACGGTAAAAAACCGTTACCTTTTTGAACTATAATTTTCCTCTTTTTTTTCCACGAATTTTTACCTTGACTTTTCGCAAT